ATTCACCTCGTTCCCTCTCATGTCCTGATGCAACCCTCTCTATTTATCCAAGCTTTGGACCGACACAGAAGTTATGAAAACCCTCTTAGTTTTGGTTTCAGGCTGGACACATGGATTGTGAGCTCTGACCCTTTTGGTTGGTTCAGGCAGCTGCACACTGTAACGGTCTGGGAGGGGCAGTCTCTGGTTGTCTAGGGGTTCATTGTGAATCTGCACTCACTAAGCATCTTGGTGTGGATAAATGCTGGTTAACTTATGTTACTCCCTGGTGGAGAGTGGTCAGACTTTCTGTTTGAAATGGACCAGAACAGACTTGGTGGGATGATTTAGTAACTGACTGACATACAGTATCTTGGATCCTCGTTAAGCTACTGTGTAAGTAGCTGTTCTTCCTGGGGTCCTTTTTACAAATAGACACACATGATGTACTACAGCTGAAAAAAATCAACTGGACTAGGTTTCTAGGTGGAAGATGCTTCATCAGTTCTCAAACTTCAGAACTGATGAAGCCTCTTGGATGAGGGGTGAAACGTCTTCCACCTAGAAACCTAGTCCAGTGTGGTTTTTTTTTTTTTTTTTTTTTTTGTCTTTTGTTTCTTTTATTGTATTGTTTTGTTTTTTTCATCTTACTATGACCTGGATGACTGAGAATCTGCATGAACATGATGTACTACACTACCCTGCATGGTAAAGAGCAGTTGGTGCCATCAGGACTGAGCTACAGAGCACTGTCGGTGTCTGGGATCCTTCAGACCCTCCAGTGCTGCTCTGGTTGTGGTATCATGGTTGTCACTGCTCTTTTCATTCTGAGGGTTTTATTTTACTGTTGTCAGTTGCCATGGGTACAAAAATTATTTCCCAAGGATGATAAATTAAGTAATTACCGAGAAGTAGGGCAAGTGTACAGTCATGTGAAAAAATTGGGATACTCTTTGGAAGCATGTGTATTTTGTAACATGTTTTAATATATGGTTATTTAATCTCAATTTTAACAATACAGAGAGATTAAAGTAATACAACAGCTGAAACAATTCTGCATTGAGGAGTGGGGTAAAATTCCCTCAGACAGATGTCAGAGTCTGGTAGATGGCTACAAGAACCGTCTCACTGCAGTTATTATAGCCAAAGGAGGTAACACTAGCTATTAGGGGCTAGGGTGTGCTGTCTTTTTCCTCAGTTAGAATAGGCTTTTTTTTTTAGAATTACATTTACAGAAGATCTTGAAAATACTTTTCTTCAGTTTTAATTGTTTAGTTGTATTACTTTAATCTCTCTGTATTGTTAAAAATTGAGATTAAAAATGTTACAAAATACACATGCTTTCAAAGGGTGTCCTAATTTTTTCAAATGACTGTAAGCTGCAGTGGACTCTGGATCGTGTTGGTATCAGGTCTGTGATGATGAGAGGCGCAGGGGTACGGACCTCAGCCGATGATGGGGGCTGAGTGCTGCTGCGCAGTCTGATCAGAGGACGAGTGGTTCACTGGCAGACGGCAGCAGCACGAAACAGACGCCTGACTGAACAGACCTGAGCCCAAGTACTACGGTACTCCTCGTCTGTCAGACCTGTGTGAAGAAAGTTCTTTTATGCTATATAATAAAAACCCTAACTAATTTTATTCATTTCTATCTAAAAATAAAAATCACCCTAACACCTGACAGAGTACTGCAGTGCTTCTCGTCTGCTGTCAAACCTGAGCACTAAGTTTTTCCTCAGGTTTCAGGACATAATTCACTTGTGTTAAATGTGTTCTTTAAGGTTTCCAGCCTGTCACGGACCAGAACTAACTCCTGTTCTGTGTGCAGATCTACCAGGCGGAGAACCCCTTCGACTTCATGGAGAACATCTCTCTGGAGGGAAAGACCAACTTCTTTGAGAAACGCGTGGGAGAGTACCAGAGGATGGGCGTGATGTCCGGCCCTACAGACAACACCTTCAGACTGGACGCTGACTTCTGACGAAGCAGCTGCAGGAGGACTCTTTGGTCACAGGTTAAAAGTCCACTAGATTGGACTTTGGACTTAATTTTAAAGTGTCCCTGTTTCTGTTCTAGGTGGACAACAGTGAGCTGTGCCAAGACTAGTTTTATCAAATCTGTGTTTAGTTTTGTAATTTTTGTACAGAATTTAGTCATGTTTTTTGTAATAAATTTAAATGCATTTCATGTGAAAGCCTCAATTCCTTTATTGCTACAAGTTTCCAGTGATGATCTGGTTTTAAACAGCTGAGAAGGTCCAGTCTTTCACTCTTTTATAAATTTTGTTTAAAGGAGTACTTGTACTAGTTAATATAGTTATTTGGTTTCTTCCCAAGTTGACACAGTCTGACTCATTAAACCACAGATGTCCCCCATCTGTATGCTGAGCTAACAGCTGCTGTAGCTTTATATTGACAGTGGGATCAAGCTCTGAAACATTCACTCTTTTATAAATTTTGTTTAAAGGAGTACTTGTACTAGTTAATATAGTTATTTGGTTTCTTCCCTAGTTGAGACAGTCTGACTCATTAAACCACAGATGTCCCCCATCTGTGTGCTGAGGTAACAGCTGCTGTATATGTTGACAGTGGGATCACGCTCTGAAACATAAGGTTTGATTGGCCCAGAGATGAAACTGGTTTGCAGATGGGCCCATTAAAACCTGGTACAAACTGGGATTCTTATCGATGTGGAGCTCTTCCTTAATGTTTGGCTGTTGATTCTGGTGTTGGTGAGTCAAAATTCACCTACAGCTGTTTTGATAGAAACATTACATTTTGGCTTGGGGGTAAAAATCTGTGTCGGCCCACATTGAGCAACTTAATGATGATGATTTCTCCCTCAACTTCTCACTACTTGTGCCCATGTCTTACAGGAGACGTACTAATTCACTGAGACTCCACTTGTTCTGCCTAATAAAGTCAATAGAGGTAAATCAGTCATTTGGTTACTGGAAAATATATTCATAGCTTGAAGCTTTTTTTTTCCTTTTTTTTTTTATATATAAAGCTTTGTCTTGGGGAAGAGACAAAACACATTAAAACAAAGCCAGGGAGCATGAGGACAATATTAACCTAAATAAGATAAAAAAGGGAAAATGGCAAGGACAACAAAATAGTAATAAAATGAAAAAACAAAAGGAGCCTGATCAATAAAGGCTGAGTATATTTTCCATAAGTGTATTTTAACAGCTTTGGCATGTTTTTAAGAGTTTATCTTTTAATAGCATTTTTGAAAACAGCCATGAGAGGTTTGCTGTTAATTTATTTATACATGAATATAATTAGCAGTTATAAACAAGGTTTAGTTACTTGTCAGATATAGGTATTTTGGATAGGATTTAGTCGTTTATGTACTTCTAAGAACATTTATCTTTTTCCTTTTTTAATGCCTCCGGCTCTAATGTCGTTCCACTCTCCGGCCCAGTAGGTGGCAGTAGTGCACCTTAAGTTGCCTTGCAAACCGTCAAACAGAAGAAGTAAGGCGGAAGTAAACGCTGCCATTTGTTAGTCACAGGACGCAACTGGTCTGATGCGAAATGTCAATTTCAAACCCGAGGCAAATGTTTGCAAACCCGGTACGATGCTTTCAATTTTATGTAGGGCATTATTAATTTTCTGGACATACTTTAATCGCTGTCATTAACGTTAAAATAAATTTTCCAACTACTTTTTGAGGGTTTGTTGGCGACACGATAGCATCTTAGCTAAGCGTTCAGTTTAGTTTCGTTGACTATGTAAAACAATATTTTACATATTTTATACCATGACTAAAGTAATTTTTAAAATTTAGTAGTACTCTCAGGGAATATGGCAGACGGTTTGTCCACCTCATAACTTTTAATATTTGTAACTGAATGTTTTAAATCGCATCGTTCAACTTAATCCATTAGCTCCACTGTGGACGAAATGTATGACCGACTCTTAAATATACCTAATTTTATTTACATATAACCGCAGGTGCAAATATTTTATTAAAGCCGAATTAAAGAGTGTTTATTATCGGTTTGCTTGCAGACTAGGTTAATTAATTTCTTAGTATAGATTTGGAGATATGCGAGAAAATACTAAAACACCCACAATTTCTAACAGAAAACTGCAAACATCTTGTGTCGTTTTGCATCGACACAAGATGTTTGCAGTTTTCTGTTAAACGTTTGTTTTTACCCTGCCATTAAAATATGGCTGCTCTTACATAAACTATATGATCTTAGACTTTAACATTAACCAGTTTGTTACCATCTTAAAGTCTCTGTTCTGTGATTACAGTACAGTTTGGTGGTGGTAATGCAGAGCATTAGGAACTACAGTAGACAAAAACCAAATTTGCAGGTTATTTTATGCC